AAATTTGGTCGCTAAAAGTTAATTTTTGGTCGGCAAAAGTTATCCGCGACCAATTTTTTTGGTCGCTACTTTGGTCGCCAATTGAGGGTCGGCAAAAGTAATTTGCGACCAAAATTGTGGTTGGTCGGCAAAAGTTGGATTTCGCGACTAAATTTTTGGTCGCTAAATATTTAATTACCGCGACTAATTTATTTTGTCGCCAAAACACTTTGGTCGCGAAAAGTAATATTTTCCCGACCAAAAAGTTTGGTCGCCAATTATCACATTCAACGACCAAAAATTTTGGTCGCCAATCGTGACATTCCGCGACGAAAATTTGTTTGGTCGCGAATTGTAACATTTCGCGACCAAAAAATTTGGTCGCCAATTGTAGCATTCTGCGACCAATATTTTTTTGGTCGCCTATTGTGACATTTCGCAACCAAAAAATTTGGTTGCCAATTGTGACATTTTGCGACCAAAATTTGTTTGGTCGCCAATTGTGACATTTCGCGACTAATCAATTGGTCGCCAATTGTGACATTCTGCGACGAAAATTTGTTTGGTCGCCAATTGTGACATTTCGCGACCAGAAATTATGGTCGCCAATTGTGACATTCTGCGACCAAAATATTTTTTGGTCGCCAATTGTGACATTTCGCGACTAATCAATTGGTCGCCAAAACTATAAAAACATAACCAAATTTTGGTCGCCAATATCTAACAAAATAAACCTGTAATTTATAATAATTCATCCAATTTATTCAATATAATCTGTAAAAAGAAGAAATCATTCAAACCAACAAATAAATTGAACCATCAACATTCAACAAAATACATATATCAACCATTTCTGAACCTGTTTAATTAAAGTCAGCAACTATTATAAGTTTACATCCACAAATAATTCGAAACTACATATTTCATCTAGCATAAAAATTTAACACATAACAATTACTTGTTATTATGTTTTAAATTTTTATCTATGTACATCAACCCAAAAATATAATTAGTAGTCTACCAAATATTTTCTATTCACACCCATCCAAAAATATAACTAGTAGTGTATCCAAAAATATAACTACTAGTCTACCTAATATTTTCCATATACATCTATACAAAAATATATAATCCTTCCAAAAACTCAAAAAGTGCCAATTTGTCCTGTATAATTTAGCTTTGTGCACGAGTTCATCCATCTGTACCAAAGAAAAAGAGAAATAATGTCAGTTAAAATTGGACAAATAATGAAAAATGTCCATGAAAAGCAAATGTCACATTAGCAAATTAAAATGACTACCATTATCAAATTGTAAATAAAACAATAGCATTCTTATGTCTATAGAATAAATTGGATGAGCCACCATTCCAGATCCAATATAGTGCCACACAGCAGAAACCAAACACGGCAACTGAAATTGATCCATATTGTCAATAACTCCTATCTTCCTATCTATAGTTGGACAAATAATTGGACATATTGTCAATAACTCCATATTGTCAATAAATTGGACAAATAATTCCCTTTACCAAGTTCACCAATTCTCAAAAAATCAGGTGGGTACTAATTTGTACATTTTAACAATTTCGTTCCTATCTTTAGTTGGATGTTGTCAAGATTGCCCCTATTCGTCAAATGATTTTCAACTCTAAAGTTTGACAAATTTTAAGAGTGCCAGACTGGAGCAAAGTTGCAGCACCATAAGAACTTGTCGACTAAAGTTAAGCCTCAACACCACAATATGGTTTTAACTACTTAGCAGAGGTAAATTACGGGTTGTTTAGCAGCAAATTGTTAAAGTCCATACAACACATTTTTTTCCTATATAAATCATGGCAAGGATTCCAATTTCTTGGATTGGACATTATCATTTTCACAAGTCTACTGACATCATAATAGAATTAAAATATTTGAGAATATTGTGGAGGTATCCATTTCAAGAGGAACAGCAAAACGCACAAGAGAAAATTGAGGATTTCAACAACTGATTTTAGGTACATGGGTAGACGGACTAATAAGCAAGTGGTTTCAGATTTTTCCAGTGCAACCAGCCAAACTGTTTAAGCTTCAAATGCCATCATATATGACAACATGGTTCCAGTTATCATATGCTTTCTTCACCAAGGTATCCACATATAACTGCAACAACAAAATTTACAGGTTTCCATAAGCATCACATTCTCTAATTATGAGCTTTATGACAACCTTCCAGGGGTGGTACCAGGAGAAAAGGAAAAAAGAACAACAATTAGTAATAGTAAGCACTCCAATTCTAGTTTGGTTGATTAGTTTGTTTGAAGAAAAGAAACACCCAAAATCACACCTAAACATATATACCTGCCTGTGATTAACATTTCCAATCAAAGATTAGATTTAAGGATAAGTATTTTACTCAGAACTTGATCAAATATACAATCAACATGTTTACCAACCCGGTCCAAAAGTGAACAAACGCTGGCAGCGGAAGGGAGGGGTGTAAAGTGTCTACTGAATTCATGGCATTATTATTTGAGAGACAACCTTGACCTGAAGTGCAGCTGCAAGTTTCGTCCATCTGGCCAGAGGCGAATAAAAAGTTGACATAAAAAGTTGACCTTAAGTGCAACGTGAAAAGGGGAAGAGACAACCTTGACCTGAAGTGCAGCTGCAAGTTTCGTCCATCTGGCCAGAGGCGAATAAAAAGTTGACATAAAAAGTTGACCTTAAGTGCAACGTGAAAAGGGGAAGAGACAACCTTGACCTGAAGTGCAGCTGCAAGTTTCGTCCATCTGGCCAGAGGCGAATAAAAAGTTGACATAAAAAGTTGACCTTAAGTGCAACGTGAAAAGGGGAAGAGACAACCTTGACCTGAAGTGCAGCTGCAAGTTTCGTCCATCTGGCCAGAGGCGAATAAAAAGTTGACATAAAAAGTTGACCTTAAGTGCAACGTGAAAAGGGGAAGAGACAACCTTGACCTGAAGTGCAGCTGCAAGTTTCGTCCATCTGGCCAGAGGCGAATAAAAAGTTGACATAAAAAGTTGACCTTAAGTGCAACGTGAAAAGGGGAAGAGACAACCTTGACCTGAAGTGCAGCTGCAAGTTTCGTCCATCTGGCCAGAGGCGAATAAAAAGTTGACATAAAAAGTTGACCTTAAGTGCAACGTGAAAAGGGGAAGAGACAACCTTGACCTGAAGTGCAGCTGCAAGTTTCGTCCATCTGGCCAGAGGCGAATAAAAAGTTGACATAAAAAGTTGACCTTAAGTGCAACGTGAAAAGGGGAAGAGACAACCTTGACCTGAAGTGCAGCTGCAAGTTTCGTCCATCTGGCCAGAGGCGAATAAAAAGTTGACATAAAAAGTTGACCTTAAGTGCAACGTGAAAAGGGGAAGAGACAACCTTGACCTGAAGTGCAGCTGCAAGTTTCGTCCATCTGGCCAGAGGCGAATAAAAAGTTGACATAAAAAGTTGACCTTAAGTGCAACGTGAAAAGGGGAAGAGACAACCTTGACCTGAAGTGCAGCTGCAAGTTTCGTCCATCTGGCCAGAGGCGAATAAAAAGTTGACATAAAAAGTTGACCTTAAGTGCAACGTGAAAAGGGGAAGAGACAACCTTGACCTGAAGTGCAGCTGCAAGTTTCGTCCATCTGGCCAGAGGCGAATAAAAAGTTGACATAAAAAGTTGACCTTAAGTGCAACGTGAAAAGGGGAAGAGACAACCTTGACCTGAAGTGCAGCTGCAAGTTTCGTCCATCTGGCCAGAGGCGAATAAAAAGTTGACATAAAAAGTTGACCTTAAGTGCAACGTGAAAAGGGGAAGAGACAACCTTGACCTTGCACACACACACACACACACACACAAGATGAATAAAAAGTTTTGGGAATCAATAAACATGATGCAGAGGCAAAGTAGGATATTTACCAAAACGGCCAGACCCCATGAATGGTTCTGCTTCATCTGAAACACCACCTTGTTGCTGTTCTTGGATTTTCAGAAAAGAGAGAAGATTTTTGAGTATCAAATCTAAAAACGATACACGAAGCCACCTATCTCCTGCTTAACAAAAGAGCAATCAAATGGGCAGACTAGGTGACATAGACTTGGTGACATGCTAATGCTCCGTTTGTTTTGGCAGAAAATATTTTTTTACAAAAATCTTTGTTTCAAAAGATCTTTTCCAAATATGTTTGGTTGCATCCTGTTGAAACTAATGTACTAATGGTTGTATAAGTAGTGGTGGGGGTGGGGGTGGTGGCAGTGGTGAAGGTGATGGTAGTATTAGTAAGACTTTAATCCGGAAAATATTTTTCCCATTTTAAAAGTGGACAACATTTTCCACCCAAACAAACAAACCATAAATAAGAAAGTACAGTCCCCACTATGATGATAAAGAATAATAACAGCCAGCTAAAAAGCTCGATAAAGTAACTAGCAGTCAATTTATCATTTTATCAAACAAAATACCCCAAAGAAGCATAAAATTACAGCAACAGAAGAGCTCTTATCCTCTTTCTGAACATGTCTCCAGAACTTCGTTCACAGAACATTCAGATCGTATCTACTCACAAGTCTTCCAATGTTCTCCTAAATTCAGATCTATGTCAAATTAAAGCTTCAAAAAATATGGAATACTCCCAGGAGACGCAACAAAACATGGGTAGGCATGGAATATGCACATGATGTATCTATGTCGAGACATATTCACTATTTCAGAGATTAACTTTAAATTTTACATCTCAAGTAACAATGAGTAAGTCACTAGAATATGGCACTAGTTTCAATATTAACATATTTTTGGCTACTCTAAATATACATTCGTCAGATATATAACATGCACTTATATACATATATCAGTTTGAAACACATGCATATATGATTAACCAAATGAAAAGGATTACACTATGAAGAGATGATGGTCCAACAATCATAAGTTAATATATGTATTGTGAAGTATACGAGCCAACAGCATCACATGATAGCCATAGACATGCATAGTGAAGGTCTAGCTCTTCTTTTTTCATTTTTTCATATTTTTAACAGGTCTAAGTGTGTTTTATGACAAAAAGCCAAAAGTGTAAGCTAGAAGAGATCTCTCTTACAATGTCTTGTTCCATTTCAGCTGGTGACAGCAATCTATCAAAACAATGTCCAGATATTGTACAAACCAAAAGCTCATTTGTAGGGTCCAAAACAGCTTCTCTACATGTATCATCATAAACTGCATGAACAAAGAACATAAACCATTAATAAAAATCTATGTAATTGTACCTATTAAACAAACAAACATTAATGCCACATTCAATAACCACAACTAGTGTTTCATACCATGAACCTGCCCAGTCTTCTCACAAACAAATACATCTCCAATTTGATAGTAAGTACATGTTTCTCCAGAGAAATCATGGTCCAAGACCACCTTATCAGTCAGGCCTCTACTGCTTTTCCATATAGACACTTGATCAGTAAGAGTCTTGTCAAGAATAATCCGGTCATCATTCACCTTCAGATATATAAAGAGAGGGGGAAAAAAAGGAATAAATAGTAATTAAGGAAATGCATTTGCTAATTTTCATTGAGACTCATTTGAAGAAGTCAATCCCTATGCATGGTTCATCCAAAAAGGGGATTCATGCATTAGCAAGTTATGGATTAGATTCCAAGGCCTATTGATTTGTACAAAGTTTACAAGAAAGAATGAAAGACAGTGATTCCCCAAATACCCTATTAAATCTTAGAAGGCAAAAGTTTCAGCCCAATAGCTACCCCTCTTTACCTGAGAAGGAAGAGGTGTTTGGCTTCTCTTTGCTGCCTGCATTTGGACATAATACTCTTTGAACTCAGCGGGGCAATTCCTAACAAATTCAGCCATGTCCTCTTTATCACGCTGCAAGAAGAAAGTAATTCTTCTAAACCAAATTTTAAACTTAATCTAGCTTTATCAATAGGGGCAACTGCAATAAAATGATATAAACTCAAAATAATAGCAAAGAGGTGGAAACACAAGATTTAGTTGCACAATCTAATGCATGAATTGTTTGTACTTCTGTGACATTGCAATTATTTTGAGTTGATACCATTTTCTTGCAATTCCCCCTCATCAATAAGCATCCAATGTGTCAATTACAAGAGGATAAAATCATCCAATGAATATCATAGAAGAGATGCAATACAGGAGCTCTGAGTAAGCTCAAAGAGACAAGTTTCTTTAAAGTCAATAACTAATCTTCCTCTCACTTGATAAATTAGAAGAAAAAGAATGAAGAAGAGTCTGGGTATAAAAAATCAACGTCTTATATGGATTTTGATATGCTCACCAAAAAGCTGTAAGTCGAACCTAAATATACCTGGATGTAAAGCTTTTTCTAAGCACATTCCCGTAATTTTTTTGTAGGGGGTAGCAGACCCCAACGCATACAGTACCTACAAAAAATTTACGAACGCATTATAGATACGAATGCAAGTCTCTGTTAAATTAATTAGCAACAATAGCTCTATCACCAATTTCAACATTGTTTAATACCCTCAAATGTGGAAATTTACTAAAGGCAACATTTTCTCCTCCAACCTAAAAAAAGGATGGTACTAAGCATTGACAATAGCACAGCTAAGTTAATATGAAAGAATAGATCACCTACTGCAATATGAAAAAATATTTACTTTACAAACTAGGTGATCCAAACTAGATAACCATGTAAAAAACACATACAACTTCTTTTCATGGCAAGTCAAATACAAATGCAACTCCACTAGGAACAAAACTAACATTGAGATTCCAATCGGTTCAACTAAGTCATTCAAGATTGTTAGGTTTTATTTCTTGGCAACCCCGTTTGACAAAACTCCTTTCAGTTGTTTTTTTTTCGCACTTTTATTTCAGTGAGACTATGAGTGTTTAGATGCAAATCCAACCTGAATCAAGCCTTTCAGAGAAGTTTGTAATGCTAATACTTTCAAGATTGCCACTTCGCTGATTATGACGGGGATCGAGCTGCCTGTCCGCTCGAGCGGAGAATCCCTGGTTCTAGCAGTTTTTGGTCGCCTGCAAAAGTATTAAGATGTGTGATTTTGCGCTCGAGCGGGATTTCTGGCGCTCGAGCTGACCTCTGTTATATCACGCACATATTTTGCTGAAGCCGCTCGAGCGGGCTGTTGGGCGCTCGAGCGGAGATCGCGGGACAGATTTTATAAATTCACGTGTTGGGTCAGATTTTAGGATTACTACTCCAGATCTTCTTTTTGGGTTCTAGGGTTTATATCTGGGGATACTTTGTGAGTTTTCTTTGATGTTTTTATTGAGTATTCAACTCATGGTTTAAAGAGAGTACATCAAAGGTTGTGTTTTGTTCTACAAAAGAGAGAGTTGTTCTTCGGTGGATTCTGAAGAATTCGAGCCTGAAGCTTTGGTGGATTCCGGGGTGGCTCATCGTAAAGACAATTCCGAGGTGAAGACGGGACGGAAGAGGCACATAGAAAGAAAGAAAAGTAAATAAATACATATCAAAACACTTGCAAAGAAAGTTTTAAAACTGATTATGCCAATGCCAACCAAACATTGTCACAAGTGTAATAAATAAATAAATAAATGCAATATGCATATATATATATATATCTCAATAATATAATTGGCATTCATTCTTGAAGAGAAAGGATAGGTAAATGGAAACGGGAATTAAAATTACCTCCTTGTTGTGGCGATCTTCTTCCTCCACCTCCTCCTATTTTCTCCTCTTGTTGATTATTATTTTTTTGGGTGAATAAGTTGATTATTATTTCAACATATATAGTATTTTTTTCTGTTCTTTACTTGATTGCTTGAGAGAATTCTTTTGTTCTAAGTTATACTTATTCTATTGTAGCAAGCATTAAAGCAAGAAAAAGAATCATCTTCATGTTGTGTTTCTTATTTCTCTTATTCTTTCTTGCTTTGTTGCTTGGGGGAATTTCTTGTAATTGGTTATTTGGCAATATGCTAAAATAGTAAAAAGTTAAAAAGTTATTAAAATAATTAAAAAATCAACGTGATAGGAGCTGTGTTTACTGATATCGCTGTTAGAAGAGAAGTATGATCACAGCTGTTGATTGCAGAAAATGATGAACTTGAACCATCCAGTTGAAAGACCAACCTTTTTTTGGTACAAAAAATTAATATGCATATACGTTACTCTATATATCAGTCAGGAGTATTGTCCCTTAGCACCCACAGCGCTGGAATTGAAGCTAAGGCCCCACATGCTCTAAGTGCTAAGAAGTGTATTTAACCACAAGAAGATGTTATGGAGACTCGAATCCATACTTTAAGTGAGGAATCTGAAAGTTTTACCACTAAACCAATCCCTCTTGGCGAAAGACCTAACTTTAGAGAAGCCATAATTGAACGAATTTGGTACGACTTATTATCGTAAAAAGGCTAAAAGTATTCTTCTCAATTTTTATTTTTATTTTTAATTTATTTAAGTTATTTTCACTTAATAAATTGTAAAAAGAAGTTAAATCAAATAGTGCACAATCTATTAAAATAATAATAATTTATAAACAATTCATATAAATTGTACCAAACAGTCCCAATGAAGCCAATTTCATGTGTAAAAAAAAATAAATTGAACAATTAATTCAAGTGAATATTTAATGTATATGTGATATCACGTGTTATCACCATCTGATAAGCAATTAGGAATAATTTGTTACTAAGTTATTAAGAGACGAGACATATCTACTTAATCCATTTGCACCTTCTATTGGCTAGGACCATTACACTCAATATTTTTTCCTATTAATTCCTCTGCTTACACTCTGTCAATTTAGTCTTCTTAATTTTAATTTATTTTTAATTTTTTCATCAATGTTAATTTATTCCAATAAAAAATAACTACACCATGAAAAAACAGTCAAACCCATGACAGAAACAGAACTTTAAAGAAATCCATTTTCAATCCCATAATTTCAAACAGGACTACAATCTTCCCTACATGAGACAAGGCTTCATAAAGACAATAAAAGATGCAAGAAAAGAAGTTTAGAAAAACTCAAAAATCCAAAACAATATTTAAATATTTTGAAAACATTTTAACACCTATGTCGTCGTCCCTCTACCCTTGCCTGCCATTTCATTTCGAAATCACATTGAAACACACACAGAGAGTAGAGAAAGATTGGAAGAAGATGGAAATGGGAGAGAGGAGAGAAAAGACAATCTTACCCCTAGAAAATGGTCACATGTCGTACAAGTGAGTAATTTCATTTAAAAAATGAGACGGCCATCCTAAATCGTCCTTAGGTAACACAAATATTAAAATTTAAGATCACAATTGAAAAGTCAATAATCAAATTGATACAAAAAGACAAATTTAAGGACTATCAATATAATTTATCCTGGATTGGACTGCCATGGCTATGGGTCCCATCCACAATGTGTTTGGTAGTGAAATGGGAGAGCGAATTGATAGTTCAAGAAGCTTAATAATCTCCCTCAATAGAGGGATTATCTTGGCAGGATAGAGTATGGGATTAGGAAAATAATGAGCGGATTGAGTCTATTTTATATAAAAATTTATTTTTTTTACCAAATGCACGTGTTTATTTTAATATTTGTCTTATTTTTGTAATATAGAAATACTTATTTATTTATTTTATATAAAAATAATTTAACAATCCCATTATTAAACATCTCTCATACTATCATCAAAACAAACACAATTTTACTTATTCCCCTCATTAACAATCTCTTCACTAACCATCCTCTCACTAACACTTTTTGACTTAATATTTTACGCACACTTACATGCCATATGAGTGTATGCCTAAAATATTAGGTAGAAAATTAACTCTAACATTGCTCAAAATTATATTGTCGAAAGATATAACACGCAAAAATGCCATGATCTAGAACACCAAAACACACCCTTATACTTGTGCTCTTCGGATGAAAAATCAAATTTAAACAAAAGCTAACTAGAAATTGAGCATTCCTTTTCATTAATTGTGTTGTTGCTAATTGAATTTGTATTTTATTATTTATGAGGAGTGATACCAAGTCCAAGCCAACAGCACCAATAAGCAGAGTGTAGGTGACAACAATATCATAGTGGTGGAATTGGTGTTTATGATGGGATGATGCAAAGAGTGCAAAGGAAACCACAATCAAAAAAGAGAAGATGAAGCGGAGAAAGTAGCCCGTCCAACAATGCACCACTTCCATCTTGGTGTAGAGCACATCGTAAAAGAAATTGAGCTCCGCTTCTATGACCCTGAAAGCATCTTCGGATGACCACTCAGAAAAGAAGCTATAACTCGCAAGCTCACGTAAGCGAGGACTCCGCCTAGCAATTAGTCCCCTGAGAATTTGCAACAAGTTGTACCCATTTTCCAACACGGCAATGCCAGTGAGGGATGCTTGGCTTTCTTCATCACCGAAGTGATCAGAATTTGCAACAACGCTTTGATGCATAGGAACGTCAAAACTACCCAAGTATGCTAGATATTGAGCATGTGTTCGCTCAGCGTACTTAATAGTTCCAGCAAAAAACACGAGGACTGTTGGGATCCAAATTTGGTTTGGAAAAGACTGCAAAAAGACGTAAGCAGCTACGGCAAGCTGGATGACAAGGCCAACAAAGTGTCGAAGCCATAGTCCATTGTCTTCGAAGGAGAAAGCAGTAATGGTATCCGGACCACCAAGGTGTAGCAAAAGAAATGGAGCCCAGAAAGCAAGCAGGTCCTTGTTTACACAATAATTGTCACAATTATTGGCTTGGTAATGGGAGATGAGTCCGATAGCAAAGACTGCGACCCAGTCTGCGAGCAGATAAGCCCCCCAGATCAGCAAGATTATGATTTTGTTTCCTCTACGTTTTCGCAACGGTGCAATGAAAACCAACAATATCTGGAAGTAGAGGCTGACGAGAATAGCAACCCGGAGATTCCATTTATACCACGTCATTTTTGCCCAAGCCATGCTCTACACTCTCAACTCCAATCCTGTTCAGCACATCCTAATTAGTTCCACAAGGAACAAATTAAAGGTAAATTACTAATACGTCCTACTTTTGAGACTTATTACCTATTAAGTTCTAGTAATAAATTTATCACTCTCTCTTATTTTTATGAATAAATTTACAATGATAAATTTATCGGTTAGAACCAGTAGGTAAATAAATCTAATTAATAGGATTGATTGATAACTGTTTCAAAAATTAAGCCACAATATCCTTTTTTAATTGGGTGTTTGGTAACGTCCATAAAAATCACATTTTTTAAAAAAAATTTGTCCTATTTTTTTATTTAAATTATGTCAATTTTTTTCATAAATAGAAAAAAAATTTTAAAAAAAATCCCAAAAATCATTTTTTTTTGGGGGGTCCATTCTGGACATTATAAAAAAAAAATTTAGTCTGCTTTTAAATTTCTTATATAACTCCATCTATCTTATTAAAAAAGTATGTCAAATAGAATTTTAAACCTAGGTTTTTGTTTTTTACTTATAGGTTTTGTTTTAATATTTTAATCAAAATTTTTTACTTTTTAGATTCACTTAATCTAGATATACTTAAAAAATATAAAAATTATGAATAATTTTCAAAAATTTAGTAAATTTTCATATTTTTTTTTGTATTTATTGAATTCTTTATATATTTCTTTACAAATATTTTACTTTTTAAGTACATATCGATTAGTTGCATTTAATTTTTTTTGAGACTAAAATAAAAAATAAAAAATCACCAAAAACAACAAAACATGAAAAATTAAAAAAACGTAAAAATTACTTTTAAAAATTCAAAACCAAATATAAAAACTTCCACTTAAAACATTTCCACCCATTTGTAAATCTTTGCCTCTAGTTTCCACTGACATAATATTTTTCCCTATCTTAGAAATGTATAAAGACAACAAAGCAACGTCGGACAAGTTCAAAAGAGCTATTGTCTCAATATCCTATTACAATTATAGAGAAATTATGTGTGCCTAACTTTTTGACTTAATATTTTACGCACACTTACATGCCATATGAGTGTATGCCTAAAATATTAGGTAGAAAATTAACTCTAACATTGCTCAAAATTATATTGTCGAAAGATATAACACGCAAAAATGCCATGATCTAGAACACCAAAACACACCCTTATACTTGTGCTCTTCGGATGAAAAATCAAATTTAAACAAAAGCTAACTAGAAATTGAGCATTCCTTTTCATTAATTGTGTTGTTGCTAATTGAATTTGTATTTTATTATTTATTTTTATTTATTTATTTCAATCGGTTGAAATAATTACGAAGATAACTACATTTAGATAATCATAATCTAAACTATTATAGGTGTGTGCCAAAAACCGGAGCAAACGGAGATGGTTAAGTGGTCCCGAACCGAGGCACACGGCCGTCGGCTCCGAAAAACCGGAAACCGGGCTCCAAACGGGAAAAATGGCCTATGACCACAAAACGTAGCCTACGGCCACTGAGAGATGATCTACGAGACCTCTACCTCCCTTCGGGAAGAGAAAACAGAGAAAACGGAGCCTGGTTCGCAAACTGAGGCAAGGCACGAAAGAGACCGGAAGTCCGGAGGCAAGGCTCGCAGCCGAGACTCTGAAACTTCTGAACGAGCACAATATGCACCATCACCGAGCGCTCAATCGGTGACGTCTGAGTCTTAAGGTTGGTCAAAAATGGGGTGTCTACGAGGACGAAGACGAAGAGCAACCCCTCTTTCGGATCTTGCAGGATCCGGGAATCAAACCCTCCACAACCCGATTCTGCCTTGGCATTATCAATTTCAATTTATCACACACTCTCTCTCTCTCTGATCTATGAAGAAAAAGAAGAAGAAGAAGAATGGATTTGCATTTGAAAATTCAAACCCTAGAAATTTATGATATGGGTTTTGAAAGTGTATGTATATGCTTTTTACATAGCTGGAGCTGGTGGATGGAGTGTGTTGGGGTAATCAGTAGCAGGAGAGGGATGCAAACAAAAGGAAATGAGAGAGAGAGAGCATGTGAAGGTGAATGCGTATTTTTAAAACGACGTCGTTTTAGTAATGGCGACCAAATTTTTTTGTCGCCAAAAATTTTCAATTGCCGCCTCTATAAAAATCAAATTTCCCTCCCAAACTTTTGGCGACTAAAAGACCATATTGGTCGCAGAAAAGGTACCTTCGCCGATAAATTTTTTTAGTCGCCAAATCTCAATCAACAGCGACTAAAATATTAGTCGCAAAAAGTATAAATTTGGCGACTAATTTTTTTTGGTTGGTGAAAATAAGTTTTTGGCGACCAAATTTTTGGTCGCCAAAAATTATGTGACCTTCCGCAACCAAATTTATAGTTGGTCGGCAAATGCAAACCACTTTCTGCGACCAACTCATTTTTTGGTCGCCAAAATATAACCTTCTGCGACCAATAATATTTGGTCGTCAAAAATAATGATCATTCGCGACTAATTAATATTTGGTCGCCAAATGTCATTTTTTTGCGACTAAAATTTTTTTGGTCGGCAAAAGTGGTCGGCAATTGTGTAAATTCTTGTAGTGAGATTCTGTTTCAACAAAAAAAAAAAAGGGAGACAGATATACATAGAGCTCATTATTAAACATGCATATGAATACTCTTGCCCTGTGAAAGAATTCAAGATAAAAAAAAATGTATTAGACATGTTGCAGGTTTCAATTTTTGTTGTATTAATTTGTACCTAGATTTTTTTGATAAATTTTAGAGTGAACTAAAAGCTAAAAGACAAAAAAGAAATTAGGGACATATAACATGGTGTGAGGGGGGAAAATTTGAAGACAATATAAAATTTTAGTAAAAAATTTTGAAAATTCTAAATAGTTTGGAGGATAGTATACCAAAACTTAACCATGAAGGTAGCTCTCTTCAAAGAGTAGTCAAGGCTCGACCAAACCCTAAAATAAAATCATTCAACACTAATTACCACTACTATCTTCGATGCCTGCCATACCACATCACCCAATCCCTCTTTCTCTCAGTCAAATTTATTTCTTTCTCTCATTTTTTTAAAATTATTTTTGTCATTAAACTTTCTCTCTCCATCTGTTCAACACCGCCTCCACCAACATCTCCTACGCCAGGCACACCACATCACTACAACACAATCTCTCCTTCTTTTCTTTTCTTTTCTTCTCTCTCTCTTTCTCATTTGTTTTTATTTTATTTATTTACTAGTGTATGTCTGTACCTGAAGGCACGGTGCAAATAATATTAGGATTAAAATATAATTGTAATCCCAACACTATTTAAATTTATTTTTTAATTTGATAAAATTACAAATTTATTATAAACTTTTAGAGTTCTCACAAAACTTCTCACGAAAACTCGCTTCTGCTTATATAATAGATAACTGGATAGATAGATGTTCCTGGTATAAATACCATTTTCACGAGCATACATACAATGTTTCTTTTGCTTATATAATTACATGGAGATTGTAGGTATGCCCATAATGTCCCATTGCAAAATATATTGAACAAAAATTACAAAATTGACCCTAAATTTGTCAAAGACAATAATATTGCTTCTGTGAAATGTAAATATGACGGTACAGAGTGCTAAACAAGCATGTCAGTCTCACTAACATTGTTGGGAACTAATAAATGTCAACTTCCTCCTTTACACCATCTCTCTCCTCCTACGAATGAAAGGTTGAAGTCATTGCACCTCCAAAAGGGGCATCTTCTATCTTGTGGATTTCCAACCACATCATGTTTTCATCACAGTTCCTGGCAAAAATGAAAAACTGGGCTCATAAGCAAGTAAGAGAAGAAAAAGGATAGAGTGAGAAGAACCTGGCTGCAAACCCACAAATCCAATACTACACATTCAACAATCTAGAAAGCAAGAAACACTTCAAAATGGGCGTGGTGTTCGTGTCCGACATGAATGAGACACCAACATGCCATGGACACAGATGTCTACATGTCAGACATGTCACGTCACGTCACGTTAAATTTTTTTTAAACTATTATTTTTTTAGGAACACTTCACGGATACGCGTATCCTATGTTTGAACAGACCTAGAACACTTTTGTAGAGAAAAACTAATTCCAATATGAAGAGACAACCTGCAGTTTTTTTGCAACTAAACAGTACGATAACTTTAATAATTTGTTGTTAACAAAAGTGATACCCAGAGTCTTAATATAGAAACCACATTTTAACAAATAAAATGGTTAATTACACTTTTCCCCCTAGTTTGATAAAAAAAATTCACTTTAGTTCCTATAGTTTCAATTTGAACAATTTGTTCCACTCACTTTTAGTTTGGTTTCAATTTGATCCTTCCATCTAAATTTTTGTTAATTTTGTCTCTGTGTACAATTTAGAAAATTGACAAATGTCCCAAAATTGTTAATTTTAATCTTCAATTTAGACAAAATGACCAAATTGAAACTAGACTTGAAGTGTATGGACCAAATTGTTCAAATTAAAATTATCGGGACTAATTAACCCCAAATAAAAACAGTATACTAATAACATAGAATAAAAATTTTAAAACCTAATTTTTTGCAGCTGCTTTGTACTTAAATAACTTAAAGGAGTGGAGATTAAATCACAAATGAAATGGATTGAATTGATCACTGAACTCTCTGGAGCAGTTTCTCCACCATAATCTTTTGCTGAACCCCACTCAACGACTCTAAATTCATAATTGCATCTGATACAAGGATGACTGTAGATGGAGCCTCAACGTTCACCTACATTGATACAAAAATGCTGAGAAAATAAGAAAACATCAGTACTAGAAAGTGATTTATTTTAAAAATAAGAATCCAAACTATATTTACAAATATTAAAATAGCAAGAATAAATTCTTCTCAAAAGAGCTTTTGGCTCAGCCCGCATAGAAGGCATAAAGCCTAGAGAAAGTAAAGATCATAATACACAAAGGAAATGGGAGAAGAGAACATAATGATGATGATGATGATAG